TAGTATGTCACTTGGATGGAAGTACCTTATCATTAAATATCACCATCTGATGTCTCTTGGTCTGACATCAGAACAAGCCTTAAAAGCTGTTCACAAGAACATTATTAAGACTATTAAGAGTCTATTAAGAGACTATTTGAAAATAGAACTCTTGACATGTGTGATAATATGCTCATAGAGATGCAACTCTGGTGGAGGTATAACATCCAACACCAGGCTGTCCGGGCTCTCATCAAAATGACATGGGTTGATGACATTTAAAAAGTCCTGCATCAACTTGTGTGGTTTTCCAGCTTCAACAATTAATTGATACTAATGAGATAAACTACCAAAGGTTCTAAATTCTCCTAATTTGCCCTTTACACTAATACAATAACCACATTCATATTTCCTACTATAGGCAGATAATCCTAGCATGATATTGATAAGCTTAAGATCTGATGCAAGCAAGTACTTCTATTCATGCAGTTTGAGAAGGTTGACAGTTTAGGCTAAATTGTAGCTGCTTTCTTCAACATGACAGACAATCACCAATAAAATAACTTTGTTTTTCAATCAGAAAAACTTGATCCTCAAGTTTTTCTGATTGAAAAACATTGAAGTAGCAAATCTTCCTCTTTGCCAGGAGATTTCTGCACTTTTAACATTTTTCCCTTACTGTAAAAATTTTTTTATATTTTGTATTTAAGAAACTAAAACTATTATTACAAAAAGTGACAAATTTAAAATGACAAAAAAAGGCAAAAAAATATAAATACCTCTTTTTTATATATTGCAGTCGTGCACTTATTAAGCTCTCTGTAGTGCCAAAGAAAACAAAGATTCGGAACATAATTAGTTACCAATAAAAATAACAAAAAAACACTTTCAATCTAAACCTATCTGGGTGCAGTCTATATTATATTAAAGTTATTCTTTAAAATTCTATTCTTTCAAAGAAAAAACAAACAAAAAATGAATGTTAAAATATTCAAGAAATATTCTGAAAAATTTTAATATATGTTCTATTTAAAAAACTCTACCCTAAATATTAATTATTTTTTAACAACTATTATGAGTAATTCCTTGTTATTTTCCTCACTAGAATCTTTTACTCTATAGATACGCTCACCAACTTTACTTCTGAAACTGTATGAACCGAGCACCATATTTACTCAATATTGTCAAATGACAATATTGAGTAAGTACTTAATGTTAAGTAAATAACACTTAGTCAAATTAAAAGAACTGATGCATTCATGATTATAAATGCATTCATGTCCCCTATTAATCATTCTGTTTTGTCTGGAAAAAAGATAATTCTGAATATTTGTTGTCGATGATTCACTTCACCATAACATTATGGTGAAGTGAATCATCAAATAACATTACATATGTGGTTGCTAACTTTAATATCAAGACACTTTAATACCAGCAAGACAGATGACAGTATTTTCTTGTCAATTTACTTGATGCAGAATTTGCAGGCTCATTCCTAGAATACCATATCAGGGCTTGTTGATAGTTCCTTCTATAGCAAGTTTTTTGTTGCATTTTTTTAATCAATAACTAGTTCTTTTTTTTGTTTCCTTTTAACCTCAGTTTGATCCAGATTAATGTATACTTTTTGAAAATTACTCAATGTCTTGAGCTTTTTAGCTCAAAAAGCTAAATTGATTGCACAAAATTGTGCAAAATAACTCCACACTTGTGTCTAGGAGTGATAGCTACACACCGGTGTGGAGGAAAACTCCACACTTTCCGCTAGTGTGTAGTGCATCATTTAATAACTTTAATATCAAGACACTTTAATACCAGCAAGACAGATGACAGTATTTTCTTGTCAATTTACTTGATGCAGAATTTGCAGGCTCATTCCTAGAATACCATATCAGGGCTTGTTGATAGTTCCTTCTATAGCAAGTTTTTTGTTGCATTTTTTTTATCAATAACTAGTTCTTTTTTTTGTTTCCTTTTAACCTCAGTTTGATCCAGATTAATGTATACTTTTTGAAAATTACTCAATGTCTTGAGCTTTTTAGCTCAAAAAGCTAAATTGATTGCACAAAATTGTGCAAAATAACTCCACACTTGTGTCTAGAAGTGATAGCTACACACCGGTGTGGAGGAAAACTCCACACTTTCCGCTAGTGTGTAGTGCATCATTCCTTGGTTTGAAATGATAAACTTTATTGATTATATTTTTATTTACGATTATTTTTCTGAATAGATCATTAATCAATTTGGAATCGCATTTTTCATGGATTTAAGTATCAATCTCCTTTCTTCTTTGTGATATTCCAAAGACGAAAACATAACCTCTCACTTTCCAATATCCTTATTTAAGGTGACTTATGGCTTGAAACTCTGATTTAAACTAATTCTTTCTTAGCAATTGAGGTCCAGTTTTTCAAGTAACTTTTAGTTTTTTTTTCTTTATCTAAAACTGCAAGACGATTATTGTTTATATATATATATATATATATATATATATATATATATGTATATATGTATATATATATATATATATATATATATATATATATATATATATATATATATATATATATATATATATATATATATATATATATATATATATATATATATATATATATATATATATATATATATATATATATATATATATATATATATATATATATATATATATATATATAATTCGGTTTCGGCCGAAATTTCGTTTTCAGTACTTTTTATAAATTCAGTAAAAAGAAAAATTTTGGTTAAAATACATACCGAAAACCGAAAAGTTTGTAAGATTTGAATTTTTATCTAGTTTAAAAAAACAGTTATTTTTGAGAATTTTCACAAAATACCTCGAAAAAATCTTGTATTGCAGAGAAAATCTAATTAAGATATTTAACTTTCGCAATTAACTTATATCGTTATCTTTTGTATTAAATTTCAATTTGTAATACGCATTTAATCATCTAACATAATAGGAGTATAAAAAAAAACAAATGTAAAATTGTATTTTTAAATAAATTTTTCTAATGAAATTAATTTCGACTAGCCGAAATATCGGTATCGGTTTTAGTAAAATATTTGCCGAAGTTTCGGCATCGAACTAGATTCTAGAACTAAAGTACCCAAAATTTCGGTTAATTTCGGTTTCAGCTTTTTTAAAAAAATGTGTGTTAAAACAAATTTTTTAATATAAATTTTTTGCATATTAGTAAATTCATTGAAAAAATGTTTTTATATGTAACATATAATTACATATATAACTATATTGTGGCTGGATAGCTCATTTGGTTAGAGCGTCGAACATAAAAGGCCGGATGAATAAAAATGAGCAATTGCTTTTACTCATTGGTCAGCTTATTACGTGAATAAAAACTTTAGTAGTTTAGCTCAAACTTTGTTCAAGTAAAGTTAAGCAATTTACTCAGTAATTGTTCAGTTTCACGTGACTAAAAACTCATCCGAATTGTTTAAGCTTTTATTCACGTAAAGCTGACCAATTACTGAGTAAAAGCAATTGCTCGTTTTTATTCACCCGGCCTATTTAAACCCGGACATTTGTAAGATATGAGTTCAAATCCTGCCACTGCCAACTCAGCGCTTGAGTGTAGTATTTCGGTACGCAAAAATGTTGGTCAATAACTGACGCTACTTTGGATTAGTCTTAATGACTATTTGCGGCTGTTCCTAAGATAAGCCAACAACATCTTCGGATATAAGAACATTGTATAAAAAAACATAGCATAAAAATTCAAATAAAATTAAAATAAAAAGTTAAAATTAAAAAAAAAAATTAAAATTATATATATATGTTTTTTATATCTATATTCAGTTTTAGCTTTGAACTAAAAGCTAAAACTATTCTTTTAAACAAAACAAACAAACATGGAATATTAAAATAATCAAATAAAACCTAAAAATATTTACATTACATTGCTATAAAATATGTATTAAACTATAATACCATATTATAATCTAATATTAATATTATATCGTATTATAAATATAAACTTTTAAAACACATGTGTTGTTATAACTTTTATCAGTTTTATAATATATTTTATAAACAATGCAAATAGTAAAAAATCAAATTCGAAGCAAAGGCTTTGTAAAAAAAACTAAGAAAAAAAAATACACACACACACACATATATATATATATATATATATATATATATATATATATATATATATATATATATATATATATATATATATATATATATATATATGTGTGTACAGTGTTGTCATATTATTATTCATCTTTGTTAATTTTATGTTTGTATAAAAAATAGATTAATAAAGATATATAATTTGACAACATTATTTAATAAAATTAAATGGAAACCAATCAATTATGTTAGCAACAATCCATATTAAAAGTCTTAGCCTCTGTAACCATTAATATACTAATAATACATATACTAATAAACAGTGTTAATATAAAAATTGTTTGTGCGCCACTACTGTTTATAGAAAAGTCTTAAACATATAACACAATTTGCAAAAAATCCCGCTTAGGGTATAACATAACGGTAAAACAATATCTACAATAACGACAAAAGAACATGTAAAATAATTTTAGGTAATAAAAAAGACATTTTTTACTAACATAACGATAAACATAACGCTAAATTTTTCACTAACCGTTATGTAACCGTTATGTTAGCGTTATATTTTTAACAGTGTTCCAATACTATTAGTATTGGAACACTGTTTTATTAGATAAATAATACAATAATTAGATAATGCTCTGAGGAATTTTTGGTGTTTCTCTACGACCGCTGATTATTTCAGTGCACCAAGTAATGGAATAATCAAAAAATTCGCTAGAAGTAATATGAAAAAAGGTTCAAAAAAATATTCTTTGGTTAATTTCAATGTTATAATAAGTGCATTCTACAGTTTTATAAACAATATATCAAAATACTTTATCGATTTTTTTTTAATTTAATGATTTTGAAGTAAATTCTTAAAAATGGTTATTTCAGCACTAACTTTTCCTAACACACCTTTTTTTACTTATTTTTTAAGAAACTGAATTTCAAAATGTTTATGGAAAGTGGTTAACAAATGGTTGCTATGAATATAGAGATGGAGTTAATACAGATGATTATTTTTCATGTGCTTGCAATCATCTCACCAACTTTGCTCTTGCGCTCGATGTTAACCAAAAGTTTGATAATCCATTAGCTTTAGCAATAGTTACATATATTGGTTGTGGAATTTCATTGGTTGGACTATTTCTTACTTTGCTTACATTTGCTTTGTTTCGGTAGAAATTTTTAAAACAATACTGAAATATATTTTTGCACATTGAAATTTTCTAATTTTAAAATATTTTGCTTTTTTTTATCTTTTTAGTAAACTTCGACAAAAGCTTCCTCAAAAAATTTTGATATGTTTTTGTGTCTCTTTAATGGGTTTTCTACTTGTGTTTTTGGTTGGAGCGGAAAAAGCATCACCTAGACTCGGTTGTCAAATTATTTCGGCATTAATACATTATTTCATATTATCAACATTTTGTTGGATGTTGGTCGAAGCTTTTAACTTGTATCGTTCGTTTATTGTTATTTTCAAGAAAAGTAATGACTCGAGTGTTTTTAGAAACGCCAACTTTTTTGCATGGGGTAATTTTATTTTTTTAAATATATTTTATTTTTCCATGAAAAACCCTCTTGAGAAAATCATGAAACATTTTTTGACCTCATGTCATATTTCTTTTAGTTCTTTTCGCATCATTTTTTTTTATTCCTGATTTTTTAATTTGCTTCCTATTGCATTTTTTCTTTTCATCCTAATGCATGTTTATTTTTGCGTTTCTACCTATATCTTGGCTCGTCTCTTACGCTACATATCTACGCAATAAATACTTAACGTGCTCAATGATTACAAACATGCTTAACGTGCTCAATGATTACAAACATGCTTAACGTGCTCAATGATTACAAACATACTTAACGTGCTCAATGATTACAAACATACTTAACGTGCTCAATGATTACAAACATACTTAACGTGCTCAATGATTACAAACATGCTTAACGTGCTCAATGATTACAAACATACTTAACGTGCTCAATGATTACAAACATGCTTAACGTGCTCAATGATTACAAACATGCTTAACGTGCTCAATGATTACAAACATGCTTAACGTGCTCAATGATTACAAACATGCTTAACGTGCTCAATGATTACAAACATACTTAACGTGCTCAATGATTACAAACATAACGTGCTCAATGATTACAAACATACTTTAACGTGCTCAATGATTACAAACATGCTTAACGTGCTCAATGATTACAAACATGCTTAACGTGCTCAATGATTACAAACATGCTTAACGTGCTCAATGATTACAAACTTGGTACCTATATAATAATCATTAGAGACACACCTGATATCTATAAAAACAGGTAAAGCATCTAATTTCGTAAAACGAAAATATTTTTAATTTATAATGCCATAATATGAAAAAAAATTTCGTAAAACGAAAATATTTTTATTTTATAATGCCATTAATATAAAAAATGCCAAATAAAATACAATAACTCGTGTTCTTTTTTGTAGGAGTTCCTGGTGTTATTGTTATTATCACTGGAGTTTTGAAACCAGATCAACTGGGTAATAATAAAGTGTGAGTTAAAATTTTTCTATTCTTTTTTTCGAGGATACTTCATTAAGAAATCATGATAAAAGTAAACTGCTCTATTAGAATAATGCAATTTCTAAAAAATATAAAAATTAAATCATTTAGATGCGTAGTTCAGGGGTATCCTTTTTATTTTGCTGTTCTTCTTCCTGTTTGTTTAATTTTGTTGGTGAACTTCATTGTGTTGATATCTACAATGTTCAGTTTGTCAAAAAGAGTCGTTACTACAAATAAAATTCCAGAAAAGTATTATTATTTGACACAAGCAAGAATTGGATTTATGTGTTCTACTCTTCTTGGTTCATCGTGGTTATTTGGTGTTTTAGCCGTTGGAGATTTATCAACAGTCTTTCAGTGGCTGTTTTGCATTTCAACCTCGTTACAAGGATTTTTTATATTTGTGTTTTATATGTTGAGAAATAATGAAGTATTTGTTGAGTGGCGCCATTTTTTCCTACGCTTTTGGGAATACGATACTTCGTTATCCAATGCGCAGTCAATCAATGGTCAGAGTCAAGTGCAAAGTGACGGATCTTTATCTTCAAATATCCAATTGAATCAAATACAATAGTAAACAGATAATATCTTCTATTTAGTTGGTTACTTTAAAATTTTGTTAAACAATTCGGTTAGTTTTATGCTATTATTTTTTCCAGTATCAAATTCAAATTTTAGTGCTTGAATTCAATTATAGTCGTATATTTTCTGCTCAAATCTTAAAATCGTTAAGTATAAAAAATCGCTCATAAAATATTTGTAATAAACTTAGCAAATATTTATACTATTTTTTTATACTTAAATTTATTTTTTTCGAAGCGAAACAACACATCCTCGCGTAAGTATTTATCCCTTCTCTTTCCATTTCCGTAAATAAACGGACAAGTGTCAACTCACCTTAATAATATTTTATTATTAGCTATAAAAGTTAACGATTCATATATAGCTATTAATTAGACTAGCAATTTAAGTAGTAAATAATAGAAAATGTTTTATGCGCTTAAAAAAATGTTTTATACGTTTAAATTATGTCATGAAAAATCAGTTTGAAACAATACAACTAAGTAAAGTACAACTACTTATTTTCAAAATTCCAAAAAGTCATGAGCAATTTTATTTCATATAAATAATATTAAAACACACTTTATTTAAACCTGGTCTCTAAGAGTTGTTAGTAAAGTTGTAGAAAGAATTTTTTTTTTGTGCAACAATTATGTTGCAGAAGTTGATTCCGTTTCATTACCTAAGTTGTTTTAAAAAAACTAAAGATAAGTAAAGGTTTTACTGTAACATTTTTCATAAAAAAAAAAGTTGTTTTTATTATTATTCAATATCAAAATCATCTTTCATTTTAGTGTATAGTTTTCAAAGAGTTTTAGCGCCCCTGTCAACAAATCTGTGTAATTCAGATACTTTTAACATGATTATTCAAAACAAGTTTTCTCGTCAGACTTACCAAACTTCTCGGGCCAAAGTCAGACGAAATATCTTTCTAAACAACCACCTGAGTTGAATTTTACCTTTTTATTTTTTATGTTGTTCTTCGATAAGTCTTTATGTGTCACATAGAGAGATGAAAAAATATATATAATATATTAATATATATATATATTTCAAAAGTTTGTTATATAACTTTTTGTCATAGTTAACTAATGTTGTTAATTATATTATATAATAATGTTGATTGAATTATTTGTTGCTTTTTATGCTTGAGTATGCTATGAGTATGCTATTTATGACAGCGATTAGCAGTTGGTTTCTCTGATTAATAATTGTTGTTTCAAATTTTTAATTGTTTTTGGCATAACAACCATAAGGTGGAGTAAAAATAACTTTTTAAATCCAATTATTCTCTCTGATTTCTATATTAGTTATAAAAAATTAAAAAATTCGACTTAGATGGGCAAAATTGAATATGAATTATAATCTGCAGCAATTTTTGGCGAAATTTTACATAAATTTTAAGAATTTTCCGTATTTGAAATTTTTATATTACAAAGAATGGTTTGTAGTATCCTTCTTTTTGAATAAATTAAGTCTATCAACAGGATATTTAAAGGAGTTTTAGAATTGAATTGGTGCGTTTACTACACAATATTACCATTCATAGAGCAGTAGTTGTATTAGGAAAAAAAATTGCAGATGGACACGTTTCATACCATTTCTTTTCATCTCGCAATAAGTTGAAGCAGAAACTACTATCACCTTTAAAAATCTTCATGCAACATTCTACAGCTTGCGTGTGTCAAAACTTTTTCGCGAGATTAGTTAGTTGAATTTGGCTCTTGTTGTATTAGTCAGCTGCATTGTTAATGGTGGCTCTATCTCCTGTGAACTCCTCTAATCAATCCACTCCCATTTTTTGCTAAAAAATTGTGAGTAGGAACTTTGATTACTTGTTTGATAAACTTTGAATCTTTTTTCTTCTCTATAGAGAAGATATTAAATAAGCAGTCAATATTTAATATCAAATAAGTAGTCAAATATTCGTAAGCAGTCAAATATCAATATCAAGCAAGCGTTCATTAATCTAAGCTAGATCTAGCTTTTTACACGCCTAACACGTAAATTTCTCATATGTGACATCTTATTTGATATTATTTCAAGAAGGATAATTTCTTGATGACCAAAAAATGCATTTGATTAAATAACATTGTACGTAACCCTTGTAATGCAGCAATGCAAAACTTTTTTTTAACTTAAAAAAAAAATTTACAAAAAGAAAATTGTTTTTTAATAAATTAAAAAAAAATTACCTATTGAAGAGGGCGTTGAAGTTTTAAACCAATCGATCTAAAGTTTAGTTCACTTAAGGTGGTCCTATACTAATAAAACCAAAATTTTAAAAATGCATTCATATTTTATGATTTTCATATAAGAAATAGTATTTTGAATTTAAAGCACAGTAAAGAAAAAAAAAATTAAAAAAATTTTATTTTGGTCAAAATTTTGGGTCCATGGACCCTAAATATGGACTACGCGCTGCGATAAGCAGCCTGTAAACTAATAATGGTATGATCATGAAATTTTCACAGCTTTTTAATATCAGATGATTACACTCACCCTGCCAAAATCAAACAATTTAACAAACTATTGAAGCTTTTGTAAGAAAACCAGTTTAAGGCCTAAAAAAAGCCCCGAAAAGGCTTAGAACCTAGACCTAATTTTTAGAACCAGTTAACTAACATTAATTCTTTTGGTAAGGTGAATGTGCATATATATAATAAACAACTCCTGAAAATTTCAACAGAATCAAACAAACCAATCTCAAGATATTTATCGCAGCGTGCAAAAAACTCATATATTGAGAAAAACAATAATAAAGATTTTTAATATAAAAAAAAAAAAATTAATATATAAAAAGGTCAAAAAATTATTGAAAACAAAACGACTTGAGCATTACTAAAAACACAGAAAAAAGAAAAATGTGAAAATTCTAATAATTGAAAAAAATTTAACCAAAATAGAATTATTCAATCAATGAAAAAAAGCTTGAATATAAAAAGATAACAAACAATAACTACGTTAAAAAATACAATAACTGCCTTAACGTAAATTTAATTAAAAAAGTAACAAAAAACTATTATCTAAAAAACTCCTGCTTCATAAGATACACCTTCACTTTCATTTACTATATCTGTAAAACCTTTTCGCTCTGCACGAAGCAGCTTTCTTTTTTGTTTTATTGTGTTAAGCAACTTTTTTTCCATCATCTTTATTCTTTCTTGGTCTATTTTGGTTTAGTACTGAGGCAAATGTACCTGGTGTAACATTTAAATACTCAAATATGTTTAATATACCTTTTGACTATAGATTTCATAAAACAATCTACAATTCCAGAAACTTCCATAGATTTAACAGAACCTTCGTGATTATTTAAGCAATCATGGGTTTCCAAAAAATTTTCATAAAGTTTTGGATCACTATCTTTTTTTAATTCCCATGATGTACAGGCATTGCATATTTTTGAAATAACTCATTAGTCAACACATTTCTCTGAGTCACTAGCAATAACAGTAACAACACCATTAAGTGAGGAATGACCCCTTTTTTGACAAGTTCCATTACAGGAAACAACAACATCAGCTATTACATTAATATCAAAATTAATATCATTGTTAAGAAATTAATTTCAAAATTCATTTGCTGCATTTTTCATTTTCACATCAGCTACAATTTAATATATGATTTGAATTTTATCTTGAACATCATTAAATGCTTTTATGTTCATTGGAGGAGGTAAGTTCATGAAACCACAAAATTTTTCCAAACCAGAATGACTTTTTCCTATCTCTCTTATTGCAACAAAAAATCTACAATTTATTTCAAATAGTGACATTCCTGGACCTTGCTTTTCAATCTCTTTGCTAGAATAAAAAGACTGTTTCCAATCGCATGAAGGTGTTGCACAAGAAATGTTTAAAAACAATGCCAAGCCTTTCTTTTTTGATAAATCAGTTGAGATTTTAATTGAATTGTTATGGCATTAAGAACAATGTCCAATCAAAGTAACAATTGATTTTAAAATGTCTGTGTCAATAAGTATAAAGCATGAAGGCAATTTATTTGAATCATTAATTTTTGCATTACTATTTTTACTGCTATGTGATAACTTTTTTGAAGATGTTGATGTCAAGATTTTTGATTGAGTTAAGTTAGTGATTTCCGATTGAGAAGTTAAATTAATGCTAATTGTTAATGCTGAGAAAAATTGATTTCCTTTAAAGTATTTTTTTTTTTGAAAATCCTGTTACCACCTGCTTTCCTTCTTAAACTTGAATCACATTTAATTTTTCCCAAATTAAAAACAAGCACAGAGCAAATAAAGTATAACACGAGGCTGATAGTTTTTCTATAAGTAATATATGTAAACATAGTAATTGTACTTAAAGGTCATGGCTTATTTAGAAAAATAAACATGAAACAGCTACTGGCACCAGTGTCAAAAACTTATAGTAAATGGCGCAACACTCTAAAACACCTATTTTATAATATAAACAACCCGTTGCTAAGGCCGTTGCTAAGAAAATTATTTAACTTCACTATGAAACTTGCTATTTTAAAGCATTTTTAAATTTACTCACTATGATGATCTATATATATTTGGAATAAAGAGTGTTTGGGCTTCAAGAATATGACATTTTTGAAAAATCGATTTTTTTGATTTTTTTTAGTATAGGACCACCTTAATATTTAACAAAATAGATAAAATTTAACTCCATCAGTCCCGGAATTATACGCTATATTCCGTGAGACAATATTTCCAAATCAAATCCTTTAAATCTTTGTGATGACTAAAATAATAGGGAAATTTCTGTCAAACTTGGCACGTTTTTAACTAAAACATTATTCTGAAAAACAAATATTGAAAAATTTATATATCCGTTCAGTAATACAACGCATGATTCAATACAATACCATCAGTAGGCTTAAAAAACTTGCTTTTTGGTTAAAAATCCTAAATTAAATTGAAACATATATTACAAACAATTAAACCTCGTTTTAAAAATTAATCTAGCGAACGTTAAACTAATTTATGGCGAATAAATTTTTTTATGGCGAAAAAGTTTTTATTATTAAAACTGTAAAAAAGAAGTAAATTTCTGATAAATACCATAAGATTTGCCGTTATCAAAATATAACATTCAATTATATAGGTTGTAAAATATATATATATATTGTAACATATAT